AGTCATAGTTTATAAACTAAATATTTAACTTAGAAATTAAATATTTAGTTTTGAGCTAAATGTTTAGGTTGCAACTTAAATATTTAGCTAGCCACCTAAATATTTAACTTAAATATTTAGCTAGCTACCTAAATATGTAACTTAAATATTTAGCTAGCCACCTAAATATTTAACTTAAATAATTAGCTACCTAAATATTTAGGTTAATATTTAGGTAGCTAGCTAATTATTTAAGCTAAATATGTAACAGTCTGGCAGGAACCAGACTGAGCCTGTTAGAGAGCAGAAACCTCTTGGGTGAAGCTTTTATTCTGATTTCATTCTCAAATTATTAAGCACACCTTGAAGGAAATTCCCTTTAGGGCACTTCTGTCAAACTCCAGGCCAGCGGGCCAAATCTGGCCCTCATTAATGTTTTGTCTGGCCTCTATAATACTTATAGAGTTTTATACAAGAAAACCCCACAAAGTTGTGTTCCACAGTTAGCAGAATCAGTGTTTTGTGGATTTTTCCAATCTAACCTGTAGTTTACAGTAAGCCATGTTGTTTTGTGGAAACCACAAACACAATACAGGATCACTGCAGGACACAAGGAGGTGAGGGTCTAATTAGTTTGTTTGTTCTGGTTGTTTTTAGAGCTGATTGGATCCACAGAACAGTCTGAACATTAATATGTTGCATTATTTTCATGTAACTATCCCAGTGTTGGGGAGCCTGGTTTGTCCCCTTTTTGTATAAAAATAAATACAAACGGGGAAAAAAACTATTTTGGCATAAAGACAAGTGTGTTTTGTGCAAAACATCTTGAACATAACTGTTAACAAGAGAAATTGACATTATGGACATTTTTCAGTCTGGATTTCACAAATTGCACTCTACAGAAACAGCTTTATTAACAGTTTCAAGTGACTTGTTGATGGCAGCTGACTCTGGAAACTACGTACACTGTACTGGTTTTATTGGACTTAACTTCAGCGTTTGACACTGTGGATCACTCTGTTCTTATCTACAGATTGAGAGATAATGTTGGTATTTCTGGCTCTGTGTTGAACTGGTTCACCTCTTATTTAWCTGAACGGTCTTTTACTGTTTTTATGAATCAGGTTTACTCTGATGTTGCACCATGAAAAAGACGTGGCTTGGATGGCAGCATATGTTGCTCCAAAACCTGTATGTACCTTTCAGCATTAATGGTGCCTTCACAGATGTGTAAGTTACCCATGCCTTGGGCACTAATGCACCCCCATACCATCACAGATGCTGGCTTTTGAACTTTGCGCCTATAACAGTCCGGATGGTTCTTTTCCTCTTTGGTCCGGAAGACACGACGTCCACAGTTTCCAAAGACAATTTGAAATGTGGACTCATCAGACCACAGAACACTTTTCCACTTTGCATCAGTCCATCTTAGATGAGCTCGGGCCCAGCAAAGCCGGCGGCGTTTCTGGATCTTGTTGATAAATGGCTTTTGCTTTGCATAGTAGAGCTTTAACTTACACTTACAGATGTAGCGACGAACTGTAGTTACTGACAGTGGTTTTCTGAAGTATTCCTGAGCCCATGTGGTGATATCCTTTACACATTGATGTCGGTTTTTTGATGCAGTACCGCCTGAGGGATCGAAGGTCACGGGCATTCAATGTTGGTTTTCGGCCTTGCCCCTTACGTGTTGTGATTTCTCCAGATTCTCTGAACCTTTTGATGATATTACGGACCGTAGATGGTGAAATTCCTAAATTCCTTGCAATAGCTCGTTGAGAAAAGTTGTTCTTGAACTGTTCGACAATTTGCCCACGCATTTGTTCACAAAGTGGTGACCCTCGCCCCATCCTTCTAAGTGAATGACTGAGCATGTCAAGGAAGCTGCTTTTATACCCAATCATGGCACCCACCTGTTCCCAATTAGCATGTTCACCTGTGGGATATTCCAAAAAAGTGTTTGATGAGCATTCCTCAAATTTCTCTGTCTTCTTTGTCACTTGTGCCAGCTTTTTTGAAACATGTTGCAGGCATCAAATTCCAAATGAGCTAATATTTGCAAAAAATAACAAAGTTTACCACTTCGAACGATAGGTATGTGGTCTTTGCAGTGTGTTCAATTGAATATGGGTTGAAAATGATTTGCAAGTCATTGTATTCTGTTTTTATTTACGATTCACACAACGTGCCAACTTTTCTGGTTTTGGGGTTTGTACATACAGAAATAAATGCAATTATATCCCAAATCTAATCTTTCAGACAAAATAAAACATTTATCTCATTATTATGTTGAATTAAACAATTTTTAGATCATATGACAATTGATCAACAATTAGCATTGGCTACCACCACCAAGATGCTAAACAAAACAAACAACACTGGCTTCACTCCTCTTCAATTCCATTTATAGTTCAGTGCATGACAGCTCCGTGGCTCCAAGCTCACTGGATGTTCAGGTCTACATGATTTTTATATTGTAAGTTTGAAAAAAATGCAGAACAAACAAAGAGATGAACTGATTGTTTGGAAGCACCAACCTGTAGCTCCTTTGTCTCCAGCTCTCCCCCTCACACCTGACTGGGAAAGCTGGAGCAGGCCCAAATAACCACCTCAGGTGCGTTAATTGGCTGAATGCACTGTGTGACTGACTGTCACTCTAACCAATGGAGAAGCAAAGGCGGGACTAAGGACAGTTTTTACCCCGGGTTACACAATCCAGCGTCATGGATCAGTCAGCAGCAGCATCTGATCATTTTCAAACCACAAATGCATTCAATTTCAAATTATGCACATTCAGATTCAATCTGAGCAATTCAAATTCATTTCCTGCTGGCACAAGACTTATCCCATAGTCCCGAGGGCTGTTGTAAGTAGGGGGAGGTTCTTGAGTGTGGGAGGAGTTTGGGAAAACTGTGACTGGTCGGACTGGTTATTTTTGGATTTCCTCCCCAATCTGACTCCACCGTTATTTTTGCTCCATCTTTCCCAAAATTTAAAATGAAAAAAGATTAAATTAAGTAAATTTTCCACTTCAACCTTACATGTTTATAAATATGCTTGAAAGTGTGTTTTTTTGGTCATCACGTCTAATAAGTAAAAAAAACAAAACAAAACAAACAAACAAAAAAAAAAACAGACAGAAGAGTGAGGGAGGCTGATTGGGGAGGAAATTCAAACATTATAGCTTCTTCAAACCCCAAAGTAGTCAATCCAACCATCTTTCACAAGCTCCTCCCACATTCAGATGACGCTCTTTTTAAAGGCCCTTCTCAATCCATCCGTCCATTCTGCCATTACTCGTGAACAAGACAGGAATGCTAAAACTTCTTTGTCTGAGGTACAGACTCACCCCTAAATATGAAAATATTAAACATGCAGTAGCATATATGCATCATTAAATTTGTGTGTGATTTTTGGTGTTCATATATTGCAGATTGCAGGTACACATACCTTCTGTGATGAAATAACATTTTGCTCAATGAAGGTCAAAGAATTAAAATGACCAAAACACCTTTTTAAAACTAGTTTGGAGTGTTAATGATCCCATAGTTGCATAAATAACATGTTCAGGTGATGTTCCTGCTCCTTAATTTAATTTTACAAATATGTTTTTTATTTATTTATTTATTTTTGCGGTTTATAGACCACCACTTGTGTAGGGTTTGTCCATGTTCTCAGGCAGGAATGCTTTGGGTTAGAGAGGTGAAGTGAACACACACAGAACAAGCTCTGTGTGTGAAGTTAATGTGCGACGCTCTGTCTGAACAAGATGCAATTTTTTTAGTTGAGCGAAAGTGAACGCCTCGTTACACCCTCCTGCATCCGGTTCTGAACACTAGTCCCACTGATTATGTGGCTAACGGCTTCTGCAAACAGATCTTATTTACACCGTATGGGCGCGCACACACACACACACACACACACACACACACACACACACACACACACACACACACNACACACACACACACACACACACACACACACACACACACACACACACACACAGAGCAGGTCTGTTAGCTGTGGCTGCAGTTGATGAACGTAGCCACTGTAGATCCTGATGAAGGAGCTATTTATTGCCTGTTTTTTTTCCACAGTTGACTCAAACAGGAAGGTAAAGACAAAGTAAATGCCAGGGTTGTTCCTGTGGTTTGCAAAGTTCACCCCAAATGTTGCTACTTCAAGGAAAGTTGTTTCCAGGAACAGACAGAAAACCCCAGCATGAGAATCTCATCAGTTAGAGTACAATGTAAAAGGCCTTTCTCCGGTTGTTTCAGCAACTGTCTTGGGCTGAAAAAGTGGAAACTTGGTAAAAAAAAAGAAAAAAAAAAGAAAAAAGACGAGACTTAGACAAATGATTCCAAGTTTTATTTCATAAGTTCAGAATCTGGACAAAGTCACATCAATAGTTATGTCTGTTTGCTTGTATTTTGGTTTATTTGTTAAGACTTTGTAGTTTGTTCAACAGCCACTTAACAACACACTGATACTGACATTAGTAATTCCTAAAGCACCAGGTTTTCCTTAAAGTTTTTTCCCTCATGGTGAAGTTTGTCCTTATCACAGACAAAGGCTGGTGTAGAGTCAACAAGGACATGGAAAATCCCACAACAAAAGAAACAAAAAAACTTGAAATAACAAAACAACTGGACTTTTTTTCTGTAGTTAAAAATGTTTCGCTTCTTATCTCAAAACTGGAGAGTGATGCTTTTCAAGCTTTAGACCCTGCGAAAAATCACTGGAAACAGATATTTTTCACTGTTGGTTGTGAATAAGTAATACATTTACATGGTAATGATGTCATTGCAATTGCTGTATGGACAAGTGTTGTACCCACTGTAGTTTTAAAGCCAGGACAATGGTTATGCTGTGATTTTTGTATTTTAACAACACGTACACACCTCAGTCAAGGGTGAAAACAGTTACACCCAAAATGACAAGTATATAGTAAATATAGTCATGTTTGTTTTAGAGACGGGACAAACGGCTCTTTGAAGGGATCTTGACGAACCATTTGTTTCATAGAATCATTCGATTTTGAATGAGTGACGTCACCACGTAGCAAAATATGCTGAATCATTTGTTTTGTCAAGCAGAACCGCCTCCACCTTTCCCCTTGAGCTGCTGTACTCCACGCTCTGCCTGTTTTTCGTGAAAAAGCGAAGGAGAAGGGACCGTCTTTGTGGTTAAGGAGGAAAAAAATAAAGATATTCCGAGAAGTAAAAAAAACAAACAAACTAGGAACGACTCTTTACTGTCCGCAACTCGAGTCCTGTTGTTTGTCGTTAGGAGCCGTTCAAATGATTTAAATGGTTCATGAACATCACGGTTTGATTGGATTAACATTATTTGTGGAAAGTGTGAAACGCATCATATACTGTGTGGTTTGTGTCAGGAGCTCTGATAAACTGAAAAGACTGAGCAGCACAAACAGCACTCTGCAGTCAGCCATCCTTATAGTTCACACTCAGTTTGACTCTGATGCTGGATGTTTTGCTTTTTAATCTGAGTTCAAAAAGTTGCTTCTGTCTTGTATGGCATCATGTAATGTTGTGGTTTTACTTAAAAATGACTTTCTGGTCAATGTTCAGGTCTGAACATTCACTAAACACCACACCGCTCAGTTGGTTTTATATCTTTAGGATGGACCCGCCTCTGAGAGTCCTGTTTGGTTTGAAATGTTTTGGAAAGTTGTATTTAGGGATACTCAGATACACCTTTAACATAGGATGACCAGGTATTTGTGCTTTTTTAAAACTTTTTTCTCTGTTCTGTTCTATTCTGTGGCATGTTTTATTGGTTTCCTTTTGGATTTGACAAAAACCCCGACATGTTTGGAGAGCTTTTTCAATGTGTTCCTTTTCCTTCTGTCTTGGTTATAAAGACAGAGTTGTGGTGACAGTAAAACTGTGTCACGAGGCTATTTCACAAAACACCTCAAGCCAAGATTTTGACATCTTGTGATGGTGAGGGGAGCAAAGCAGTGGCAGAGCCAGAACGGTCGACATGTTAAAAGGTAAGATGTGGATCAATAATGTGATGAAGTGATAAAATGGCCTGTACAATCCATTCACTACAATGAGAATTGCTAAACTGCGTTAATTTGCTGTGTTTTGAAAGTTTGTTTATGTGAGCAGCGGCTGGCTCTGTTGGTGATTTATGAACAACTAGAAGATGCATAAAGACGGACCGGTCTTTGCAGCAATTTTGCAGAACTTTATTGTAAGAAAAGCCTTCAGACTTCAGCTTCCTAAAGCTTAGAATGGAGCATTAAAGCGGTCACTGAGTCATTTCCCCTCTAATCAATGCCTTCATGCAGCCAACCAGAACGTCTCTAGTGAGCCAGGCAAACAAAGACCCCAATGACTCTCCGGTGGGAAGGGAGGGAGATTAATCTGGATGTGAATTTAGCTTCTCGTGCAGTTTAAGCCTTAGAACTCTCAAGTGTTGAATTGTGAAATCTTAGGACGTTAAACTACAGAGTAGAAGTCCACTTGTTTTTTAAATTTTATTAACATGTTTTATTTCTAACTTAATATAGGTAAAATCCTACCATACTGCTTAAAATTATTTTCATTTTATGAAGTTTTACTAAACTGATCATTAAAGACTGCATTAAAAAGGTCAGATATTAATAATTTTGTGTTTGATCTCAGAGAGGAAGCTAATCTGGACCTTAAAGCAAGAATTCAGACCTTCTGAAGTGGGGCTCTGGTTTTACATGGTGTAGATAGCTCTTTGAACGAACTCGGTTTGGAGGAATACAGTTTAATTCTGATCAAATAAATGAGCTAACAGCTGAGTTCAAATGAAGCCAAGACTAAAGAGGTTTGCTGCCAACTTCAAATTTAACACTTTTTAAATAAACTTTCACATCACATTACATCAGTCTTGCATTACATTGTTATTTACAAAATACTGTTATTATTTGCAAGCACAAATAGCAGCAGCTAGCTGTACCACTTCTGGTGCATCCTGGGCTGTAATGTAAAATCAACAGCAACATAAAGGTTTGTAAAATAAAATATTTGAGCTTGAGGTTGCTTTCCAACAGCACACATTCACTTTTGTCTCAAATTAACATCATTATTAGTTCATCAATCTGGCCCGAATTAAATTCTGTTTTTCCAAATTGAACTTGTACAAAGAGTTGTCTACAACAGGTAAGATATTATTTATTCATAAACTTATTTTCAGAACAAAACTTTAAATAGATCTGAAGTACAGTATCTCTTCACAGTAAATGTCTCTGTAACTTTTTCTTAAAGGCTCAACTCCCTCCAATGTCAAGAGGCAAGTTTGTTAAAATGAAAAAATCAGCTTCTTCTGCGCTGCTGGTTCTCAGAACTAACAGTTCAGAAAACACGAAGATGAAGAATCAGACAGTTAAAACTGCACTGTGCAACTCAATGACAGATCCTGCTGTTCAGAATGTAGTGAGGATATTTACAGGAAGAAACTCAACACAAAGCAAACTCTGACTCCACAATTCTCAAATCAGACCACCATAAACTGACTGGACTGGTTTTAATAAGCAACAATCTAAAAACGTAAGGTCTATAGATAACTGAGGTGTGCACCATTCTGGTGACACCCACTGGGAGAAATCTCCAGCAGTTATCACTGGAATTGTAGAAATTGCAAAGAAGGGTTGCTTTTCGTTTTCTTTAGTTGTATTTCAAAGTGCACTGGATTCAAATGATTAGCACAAAAATGACAAAAGGCTTCAAAAGTGCATAAAGTGCCGATTATTTCAATCCAGATTGTGTTGCACTTAGTCACATATTTACTTGGATTATCATCAATATACAGAACAAAAGCCAAAGTGGGCCTTTTAGATGTCAAACATAAGGTTGTGACAAGATTAAAAACTTGAAACAAGTATTTTTCTGCTTTTAGGTTTGAGGCACTGGAGTCTGTCGGAAACCTCAAAGTTATCTTTGACAAATCTAATAAAACAGCCGTAATGTAATGTTTATCATTGTCACAGGCATTAGGTTTGTCTAGACACTGCACTGCCTTTGATAGAGAGAAACAAAAGTTGTGTTTAGCATCTTAAACTCATGAAAAAAAAGGAGACAGAGAGAAAGAGAGAGAGAGAAATTTAGGAAAAAACACTAAATACATTAAAAAGCTATGCTGTCTGAATTGAAAACACTTCCTAATCTGTTTTGGATTTTGCTTGTCACTCTTCAGCCTCATTTCATTGAGTCTTTTCAACCCTTCTTTGTGAGCTGCAGATTGTATTAAAGACCGTAGCAAGACATTTCAAAAATACTGGATTATAAAATACATGCCAAACAAGAAAAATCAAGAAAAACCTGCTTTCAAAGGGTGCAGGGTGTCAATCAAAGATCCAAAACATCCATCACTGTCTCTCTAAATGTGCTTTAGTGTGTGGTCGTACAGAGGAGGGCATGTATTTGGTCAGACATTTGCATGAGTGTCCGAGCTTCTCTCCAAGAAGGTTCCTTTGTGGCTCTCTGTTGTATGTCTCTTTCAGTGCTGCTCAGAGCAGTTTCCTCTGCTCCTGTTGGCTGCTGACATCTTTCCTTCTTCTCCAGAGGGACCTTTTGTGTAGCCTCTGACTGTTGGCATCGGCTGGGTGGAGAAAAGGTACGCATACTGATGACATCATGCAAAAAGGAATCACCCAAAGATTCACAACTGAGACTTTCGAGTGAATGGTTCTGAAGCCGGCCTAGATTCAGCAGCGTCATTTAAAAATCTTCACTCTCGAAATGCACTTTTGCACATTTTATAACTGTCACTTCCCAGCTCTGCTCTGAAGGGATAAACTGCAACAAAAATGTGCTGGTTAAACCCATATAGTGTGGGAATCCCCTCTCAGCTCACCTTCTATGCACTCTACTTTTGGCTGTTGCCATTCTCCGCTCTCCATACAGTGTATGACCGGCAGGTGGCGCTGTGTGTAGCCTGCGTCACATTCGTAGCGGACTATAGAGTTGACGGGGTAGCGATCTCTGCTGCTCCCCATCGGTTTGCCGTGTTCCACTTCAGGAGGCGCTCTGCACATCACTGGCATGAGTGACAGATATGTAGACACACAAACGTCAACACAACTGGATTTTTAAACAATTTATTTAAAACAACATGAAGCCAAGAACTCAGATAGAGTAGTAGAAATAAAATGAAGCTGCATGTGTTGAAAAGTCATGTGACTGGATTAAAATGGATAAAATTTGAGAAGACGTTACAGAGTTGAGAGTATGAGGCACTCTGCTGGACTAATGTCAGTAGGGTGTGGCACTTCCTCAGGCCTGAGTACGAAGAGAGGTTTGTGTTGTTGGATAAAGAGGAGGAAACTCTTTTTTTCCTTGTTAATCACAGAGATGGAAAGAACGAATAAAGGTTTGTTGCACGTTTCATCTTGATACAGTCTAATGTGTCTGTGAGGACTCTGTGTTTGATAACTTTTGCTCATTGTTTTCACTTACTGTCTTATGCTCTGGCAACTCCCTGATAACACTATCCCTTTAATACACTTTGGTGTCTATTCTACATGTACAGCTCGTGACAAAGTGACTCATTTATAAACTCATAGTTGCATGTGAACCAAACCGGGCCATTCTCTTTCTCTGTGCTTAACTTGGCTTTTTTTTCCTTTTTTTATGAATGTGTTATAATTTATTGATTTTTCTTGTTAAAATTGTGTCCTGGATGTATTTAGCTTGTATTTTTCAAACATAAATTTACAACTGAAAATGTATTTATTTACTTGTTTTCTTATTTTATTAGAGAGATTTGCAGATAGCAGTGCAATATTCAGAAACTGGGCTGTAAAAAAATGACACACACACACAAAAAAAACAATAATAGGACTAATAAATAAAAAAATGAATCCTGTTCAAAATAACTGTGTAAAATGTGTAAAACACCCCATATCTACTTATTTAATTTTAACATATAAAATTTTGTTTTTCTGTCACAGTTCTCTCATTTAGGCAAATGAAGTATATTTTTATTCAATATGTACTTCTTACTTAAAGTGTAAAGTATGTGTATGTCCACAAGAGGCTTCCATCTTGGACATCTTTAGTGTTGAAAGCCTCTTTTGGACGTATACATACTGTAATGCTAACAATTTGAATATATAGCTGATATAAAATTTTAATAAGTCGGCATAAGTTGTCTAAAACGTTATAGTGTGACAGGGACTTAAGGAGACTAATTTTATTGTGTTAAATCAGGCAAATAAATTTTAGTAAGATAAATAACTTGTTCAGTGGTTTTTTTATTGAGCCAAATCAAAAATTTGAAAAAACAAAACAAAAACAAGTTCATAAAAACAAAAGTTACAAAATTAGTAAAGCTCTAAAGGTTATTAATTTATTTTTTATCATTAAAGATGTTTATTTTCATTATTCATTATAGGGTTTTTTATATCATTAACACTTTTGGGGATACTTAACCCGAGTCACAATCAGTGATTCTGCAATAGATACATCAGCAAATATTTAAATATATTATTCAGTAGAAACTCATCCAACTCTGTTCCAGTGAGATTTCAGCAACTATTAAAGCACTGAATTATTTGTGACTGTATTATTTTTATTAAGAGACCGTTGGGAAAATAGTTTACAAATCACAGCTATGTTCCAAATTTACCAGCAAATCTTTTTAATTAAAACAATATCTAAAATCAGATCCTAATAATCAGAGACATGACGGCAGTAAACCTACCAGGTCCAAGCTTGCAGGTGTAGGGGAGGTGGTAGTTGCAGGGCACATCGTTCCACTGCCCACCCTCATGTAAGATCAACACCACACAGTCCTCTCCAGAGCTGAAGTAGTTATCTGGCTGGTTGGGCCTCCAGTTCACAAAGGACTGAGCAGAGCCACAAACAGGTAACAGTAGTCGATCAGTAACTTTAATATGAAATAAAAGAACCAATGAGCATCTATCCAACAGAACTCACCAGAGGACTTCCATCTGTCCATTTGAACTCATTCTGGATGTCCTGGTCACTGAGTCCAATCCACTGGTAGTCCAGACCACTGGCTGTAAAGTGCATGTAAAACATGTATGGTACCTCTTTAACATCACACAATCGCTTATTTTAACTCCAGCAGTTACTCACAGCTGACAAACTCCTGCTCTTCCAGGGAGTTGATGCTGACCAGGTGAGCGTTGATATCTCGACAGCGCTGCTCGGCCTCAGACCAGGTGTGTCTGTCCTCAGAGAGGTAGTAACAGCTGCCTTGAAACAACCTCCAGCCTTCAGGGCAGTCCTGCAGAGCTGCGTACATTTGAGAGAACAATAAAACATCCGCAGACGTGTTCATTTCTCTCTTCTCGTTCCGTCATTAAAGTTATTACGCTGCACTTCGGTGACTCACAGGTTGAGCAGTTTTCACCGGTGAAGCCCCCTGGACACAGACACACGGCACGTTCCCCCTGCACAGAGCAGGACCCGGCGCCGCAGGGGTTTGGATCGCAAGGGTCTGACAATAAAAAAGGGACAAATTATGTTTGATGATTAGTCAGATTTGACTAGAACTGATAAAATAAAATGGTGAATTAAAAAGAGAAACAAACCGTCTTCTACTCCAGGCTGCTCCACAACTGCAGGGGTTATGAATGACACGGATGGTGCTGTGGTTTGGGAGGCATAGCTTGTATCTGGAGTCACTGTATCATATAGTTCGTAGGTCGTCAGACCAGCTGGTGTTTTGTGAGGGATTCCAGTTCCAGATGTTTGCAAAGAGCCGCTGAATCCGCTGATCCCTGAACCACTACCTTCGCCGCTCGTCACCACCACACCACGACCGTGCTCAGGTTGTGGGGTGGATCCGCTCATTTCGATCATCTCGTCATCTATTATTAGAATGACATCAGGGTGAGGATGGAAGGGGTCTCCAGAGGCAGAACCGCTGCCTGAAGCACCAGAGGGAAACCCACTGGGGAGACCACTGTGGTACCCTGATCCAGAGGGCTGATATCCAGACAGTTCTTGGTTCCCAGACGGCTGTTCGGTCAAGTCGATGCCACTGTGGTCAATAAATGAAACGCCAGAGAACTCGCCAGAGCCTGAACCAGACACGTGTCCTGATCCGGAAGCACTGGATTCCATAAAGTCTCCGCTGATAATGAGACCACCCTGACCAAACTCCTGCTCTGTGTGGTTTTGGTGGGTTTTTGACACCTCGACCATCTCTCCGTTCACCATGAGGATCCCAGAGGCTTCACCGCTGCCGCTGACATCCCCACTTCCACTGCTACCAGATCCTGGTATACTGATGCTAGATCCAGATCCAAATCCAGATCCAAGTCCAGACCCAGATCCAAATCCAGATCCAAGTCCAGATCCAAATCCAGATCTAGGTCCAGATCCAGATCCGGATCCAAATCCAGATCCAGATCCAGTTCCAGATCCAGATCCAGATACACTGCCCAAATCTCCAGATGTGAAGATATCAACACTTCCCTCCTCCAGCTGCTCTGGACTCCCAGAGGCAGACTGTTCTCCGGAGAACACATCAGTGTGTCCACTGAAGATGATGTCATGTCCCGACCCGGACACGTCCCCACTGGAACTGGTGGAGGTGGACTCTCCGGAGGTCTCCCCGCTAGCTGAATGTTCAGCTGAACCAGATCCGGACACATCAGTTGGGACAGGAGGGACAGGGACTCTCTCTGCAGAAACTAAACATATGAAGGAAACATGAACTATTTTGCAGAAGCGTCTTCAAAGAAAACATTGTTTATGAAGCACCAATTAGATTTCACTGTTGAGTTTAACAAGAAACGATTTTAAACTTTAATTTTTGGATTTGTTGCGGGCACCGAGAAACAGAATTTAAGTCCCTTAGATGTCAGTAAATGTTTAAATAATTATTTTGCCAGTTGAAAAACCAAAATTGTAATGTTTTTTGGTAATAAATCATTATATCCACTGTTATGAGAGGTGGATAAACCTTATTAAAATTATTTGGTTTCATTAATTAAATAATACTATTAGTATAAATAGCAATTTTTTTGTCCAAATTACATCAAGTCTTTGGCAAAACAGCCCAAGCCTTATGAGGGATTTATCACAATCAGCAGATTTAAAAGTTACAGTATTTATTTGATCTACTGTATATGCCTGTTACTTTAAACTACAAGCCTTTTATAATCATCCTATTGAGAGGTAAAGAAATATTATTTTATTGTGACCACTTTAACATAAAAAAAACATCCATCTTGATTATTTCAAGCCCATGACAAAAAAAAAAAAAAAGAAGAAGCAAAGGTCACATCAGAGTTTGATGGTTTGGTGATTTCCAGGTGTCTCACCTGTAGGAGCAACATGTTGAGTCGGGACAGTTGCTTTCTGTATAAATTCTTCGGTGATATTTACAGCTTCTTCTGTTTGATTGTAGACCTCTGTGGTAGCTGTATTTAAAAAAAAAAAAACAAATCAAATCAGAAACAAAATCAACCAACTTTACTCACACATGTCGGTTTTTACTAGAAAGATAAACATCTGTGATTTCACTCGATTTTTACCAGCAGGAGAAATGGGATCAGTGCTGGCTTCTGTAGGCTGCACAAATGTTTTTACCAGATGATCAATGGCTTCTTTTTCTATTTCGACATCAGAACTTTCAGCTGAAAGACAAGTAAAGACAAAATACTATTTTAAAAAGTGGAATTGTTTTTATCTAAACAACTTCACAAAACCAAGATATTTCATTAACATAGTCTTGAGGATAATGCATTTTTATTTGTTCAAAATTTAGTTAACCTGTTTAGTATTTGCTCCATGGTTTGCTTAATTGTTTCAACAACAAAGTAATAATTTTCTAATATTTTTCTGGCAGGCTGATTTAAAAACAGACATCCTTGTAAGTTTAAAATATGGGAGTTTGTGTGCAACATTACACAAACATCACCCAGTGAATATAAAAAAAAATCACTTCCATATTTTTATCTTCAGCTGCTTGTAGTTTTAACTGTCTTGGGTATTCATCGAAATGGTTTTTACCAGCTTCTGGCCAAGATTATTATGTTTCTGTAGATACCAAACATATATACATGTCCAACTAAAAGAACTTAGAGTAATTAAAGTAGAAAACCAGGGTTTGGGCTTAAGAAATGAATGAACCAATTGATGGGATGAAATTTGATCAATAGCAGCTGCCTGTTAAATAGCCCTGATCTAGCTATTTGCGTGTTCTGTCATGTGTTTGTGGTGCTGTATCATATAGATGAGTTTATGGAACAATAAATAAAAAGCCCCTGATGTTATTCTAACCTCTAAAACAGTAGGCGTCGTAACGTGAGTCCTCGTCAGGAAACCCTGTCTGGTTGGAGAAGGCGTAGATGATGTGGACCCCAGCTTGGCCACCTCCACAGTACGGCTTGGGGGTGGTAATTGGGTAGCGGACACTCCGGTCCATCAGCCAGCCTGGGCGGCACTTGTCCAGTCCCTGTTTCCAGGCTGCGTACAGCTGCCCAGGGGTGGCCAGGGTGGTGTTCAGTTTCTGACAATGCTGAACTGCCTCGTCGTAGGAGAAGCTGTCGAAGTCGCTGGTGAAGAAGACCTCCCCTGTTGAGCAGATTGATGCACATAAATATTCAGTAGAATTTAGACGCAATGACACTTTTTTGGTTAGATAGATTTTAAGATACCCCTTTATTTTGAGAGGGCTCACCTTTTAGGCGTTCCACATAACAAAACACATCGTAGCGTTCACTCGCTGGTCTCAAGCCGTAGGATCTCACTCCTGGAAGTGTTAGCAGATTACCAGCACACTTGTCTCTAGGTGACACAATTGGATACCTGAGTACAAGAAAAAGAATGGTGAGTATATTTGTAGAGATTTTAATCCTTGAAGCTGTTAAATAGTAAAATTACAACAACTCATTTAGGTCATTAACATGATGCTGCTGACTGAATGGGAGTAAGAACTGTCTAAATGATGTTGTATTAGTTGACCAACTCACCGCACTGTTTGGTCGCGCAGCCAGCCGGCGTCACACTGGTGTAGGCCTTGCTCAAAGGCTGCCTGAAGCTGCTGGTGGCTGGCGATGACTGCTCCAATGCTTTCACATGCCTCTTGAGCCTCAAGAAAGGTCAGAGCGTACCGACCAGTGATGGGTCGGTAGTGGAACACCACACCTGGGACAAAAAGGACAAAGATAAAGGAAAAGAAGACGAAAGAGTCATTTTACTTAGAGTTTTTATTTTGTGGACATATTTATTCATAGTATACAAGATATTTTGTCCCCCCCCAATAAAAGTAGGGCGTTAAATACCGTACAAGCTTACCAGTGGGAGCCATGTTGACATCTTCACCTGTCAAATCCAATCCAGGAACTAATAGAATATCTTGGCCACTCACACCCGGTGGACCAGGCAATGACGGAAGAACTTCCACTTTTTCAGACCTGACCTCCTGCCCAGGTTCAGGGGTTACTCCTGGGTACAACTCGGGGTCAGGTCTGGTTTGAACGACATCTGGGAAGGGTGTGGTCCTCTCAGGAACTGCACCGTCATCTTCACTTGCTGAGAAGTCAAGATTACATTACTTAAATAATACATTTTTGTTAGAATACGGCAAAACAGAGGAATCAATGGTGTTTTGCAAATCTAGCAAACATTTCAGAGTTTTTTTTAATCAAACCTTGGAAGCAGATGGCATCATAGCGAGAGTCTGGGTAGGGGTACCCTGTCTGATTGGGGAACAAGTAGACGGTTCTCACTCCTAAAAGTCCTCCTCCACATTGAGGTCTGGCGATGTTTATTGGGTAGCGTACACTCCTATCTGCCAACCAGCCGGCATTACACACGTCCATACCACCTTTCCAGGCAAGGTAAAGCTCGCCGGTGGTGGCCAGCCTGGCACCGAGCTTGGCACACTGATCTTGTGCTTCATAAAATGTAAACTTCTCTACAGACATGGAGTAGAAGACTTTGCCTGAGAGGGAAGAGGATAAAAAAAGACATTGAAATGAAAATATTTATTTATTTATTTATTTATTTATTTTGTGCTGTGTAAGTTTCAGGTGTGTGGCCCTCATTAGATGAGCGTACCTGACATTTTCTCTGCAAAACAATACACATCATAAGTTTCGTTAATGTCTCTAATGCCATAGGTTCTCACTCCAGGGAAGTTTTCCTTGTCTCCATAGCACCGCTCCCGTGGCTCATGGATGGGGTACCTTCAGAGAACGAGAGAGTTATCTGATAAAACTAATATTTGTTGGACTAGAAATAGTCAAATCAAAAACGAACCTTAGGAGTATTTTGATGATCAACTAAAGTAGTAACTAATTAGATTTAGTAAATGGAGCTACATTAAGCAATATGTAATTAGCTCAGCATTATAACTAAAGCAAAAAGACAACTTATATTTGTTTGAAAAGTAAAAAAAACAAGGTTTGACTTTTAGTACCTGTGATTTTAAATCTGTAGAAAACAGAGAAGTAACGTATTTTTTATTGTTATGTTTGGTCTATGAGTACTGACTTCAGAACTGTGATTGTGAACTTTAACGTTCATCACACACTTCCATTTGCACGTTGCATTGGCCAGAACAAACACGTTGTGTAGTTTGTGGGATCATAGTTTTACCCCAACTCACTTTTTTGTGTATTTGCCTCGCATTTCTTTGATGTACGTAAGAAAATAATATCCTACGCCTTTTTATAAATCTGATAGTATACAGAGGGCAATTTCCAACAATATCAGATTGCCACAGTTTTATTGATCATGTTTTGATTATTTATTAGAAGAAAGCCTGTAGTGGAAATTTAGCAACTTTGAAACAATAATAGTACCTAAACTATACACCATTGTAACAAAGGTTACAGAGCAGTGGTTTAACAGTCTCATGCTACATTATGCCAACACTCTACTGCCATAGTATTATGACACACTTTAACAGCTTTATGTGTAACTGATGTTGCCATTGCTTGTCTTTTGTATCTGTATTGGTTGTGTTCAGTCACGTGATGTGTGTCTGCATCAAAAACAATATTTTCTACTTGTTATTCGTTCCAGAAACCTAAACTTGGAAAATGAAATTACATTATATTAGTTCTAGACTGAAATGTCTCAGATTAGAACAACAAAAAGGGCACATGTTCTTCATGTTTCGATGCCAGCAAACATTCAAAACAGTATGATGGAACCATTAAAATTCCTCCCTCAGTCAGATGGTCTCTGTTTGTGTGCATGACCTGAGAGTAATCAGGTTTTCTCACACAGACCAAAGGCATGTGGTTCAGGTAATCTCAAAATGAAAGTATATTGATGTTGACATTGTTGTTCTTTTCCAAATTAATTCCACCTCTTATTTGAGTCTAGAGAAGATGCTGCTGTACCTGACAGTCTGGTCAGAAAGCCAACCAGCGTCACACTGGTGGTATCCATCATCATAAGCGGCTTGGAGCTGTGCTGGAGTAGCTATGGTGGCGCTGTTCTGGATACAGGCTGCTTTGGCTTTTTCAAACGTCAGGGTGTAGCGGGTGGAGATAGCACGGTAGTGAAATACGATACCTATAAAATACACATAGTCACCAGATAGAGTTTTTTATTGAATTCACTGAAACCGGTTTCTGGATGTAAGATGAACCTGTTCATTTATAGCACGTCAAGTGGGTTTGACATTGGAAAACATATTAAAATGTAAAGGTTTGTAGCCTACCCTGAACCTGGATGTTCACAACGTCAAAGCTGTCCTCAATTCCGTGAATCACTTCACAGCGGTACGTGCCAGAATCTTTGGAGCTCAGCTCTGTCAGCTCCATGCTGGCATCAGTAGACACCATTGGGTAGTTGACCAAAGTGACTCTGTCCAGGTACTCTGCCTCCACCTGAACTTTCCCCTCTGTTGCCACCAAGATTGTGGAAGCTTTCTCCTTGGTAACATAGGTCCACTTGATGCGGTGCGAGAGTGGTGCGATGGTGGGGGCTCCGGGGTCGTTGACAGTGTTGTCTTGGAAGTAGCACGGCACAACTACCTTATCCCCCAGCAGAGGGCGGAGAGGCATCTCCACAGGTATGCTGACACGCAAGGTTCCATCCATCTCTGTGATAAACACAAAATGATCATTTTAATTTATAAACCAGCGTGGGACATCAAAAATAACTTGGAAAAATTTAGAACTATAAAATAATAATTTTGCCAGTCTTAATGAAATAACTTATGAAAGGGTAGATTATTCTTGGTTTTCATTTTTTATTGATGTTATAGTCTGATGAATTTAAATAAAAACTTATTAATATAAAATCTTTCATGTCTGGGATTAAAGTTTCTGGTAGAACACTATTTTCCTAACAGAACTGTAATTACAGAAGAGAATTATCATCAAAACTAAATAAAACTTTAAAATGTTTTCAAACTTGTCCTTTCATCATCATTTCAAAAATCATATAACGTAAATCCTCCAGGTCAGCATTTCAACTTCACCCATAAATTTAAACAGGACTTACAAAAAGAAAACTGGTGCTGTTTTCTTCACTTTACACAGTGACCTCCTACCTTCATCATGTTGAAGAAATGCTCCCAAGATGATGGGGAAAGACACACACAGCAGAAGTAAAGATGTCATGGTTACCTGACAAATACAGAAAAATAATTGTTTCAATTCAATTCAATTCAATTCAAATCAATTCTAATTGTATTGATCCCAGAGGGAAATTAGGTGTTGTTGTAACTCCTTTAACTAAAAACTTATTGTAGATGCTGATGGCTGTAGGCAGGAAAGATCGTCTGTAGCGGTCTGTATTACAGCGAAGTTGAAGAAGCCTCCGACTGAAGACACTTTGTCTTTCTGTGACAGTCTGATGAAGAGGACGGTCAGGGTTGTCCACAATGTTCTTGATTTTATGTAAAATCCTTCTTTGCACCATCATCTCCAGAGATTCCACAGTCGTCCCCAGAACAGAACCAGCCTTCTTTATCAGGTTGTTGATTTGAATTAGATGAAAAAACTGCCTCAAAGGGTGAGACAAGTGTTCACTTGTAACATTAAATTTAGTTTATGTGAACAGTGATATTGTTTTTTTTTCCAATGCTCAGTACTTTTGAATATTACTGAATTGTTCCAAAAATTCCCTTCTATTTTGGACAGACTGTACATTTCTTTAACCAGAATGGAAATAAGACTTCAGGAGCCTGTAGGAACATTTAGAAATGCTTGCTAATGCATAAAACCCCTTTGTGTTATTGGACACAAGAAGTCTGTTTGGGGCTAAACATATACTGTATTTATGCCGTACAGAAAAAAAATGATTCATTGATTTCAAACTCAAGCATTTGTAATTATTAAATGCTGAAACTCGGTCTGTTCTTCAACCTGATTTTTTTTCCCAGGAAGGCTTGGGCCTGAAGACAGCTTGTTTTTGGACTGTGGGTGAAAATCAGAGAACCGGGTCAAAACCCAGGCAAACATGAGGGGAACATTCAAACTCCACACAGAAAAGACCCTAGCTCTGAAGTTGGGGTTTGAACCTAGGACTCTCTGAGGCATCAGTGCTAACCACTAAGCTGTCATGATGCCAATTAGAAATGTTAAAATATGTTAGCATCCACATGTGGAAGAACTGAGCTCAGAAAAGAGCCACACAGCTTAGAGTAACTCTGTTCACCTCTGACAGCCTCAGTAGTCTCACATCTGTCACAGCTGTGTTACCACGCTGTTTATTTTCTCCCAACTTTCCACTTGCTCTGACGTTCAGCTCCTTGAAGCTTACGGAACCGTTGAGAGGTTGAACTGAACCCAGATTGTGCTGCTTTAACGACGCCCATGACAGGCCACCTGAAGGCCCTCAGTTCGTTCCAAACGGCCACAGAGAGACATTTCAGACTAATAAACCTGAAGGTGACATTCAAAAACCGTTTGCAGGAACTCACGAGGGGCTGAGAAAAACGGCCGAAAGGGAACTGAAGTGACCTGTTCAGATTCATTATCTGCTTCTGCTGTTCTGTGGGTTGAAGCATTTGTGCAAATAAGTGTTCTTTGAGGGAGAACTACATGATGCATGAATGTGTGTGTGAGGGAGTGAGAGAAGAGTATGCAGGGTGGGCATTTTCCTAGTTCAACATTCAGCTCATACAGTGGAGTAGGACTAATATTTGCCCTGCTGTGTGAGAGTGAATGTTGGTCCAGTTTGGCAGGAAACTCAGAATGCCACACTGCAGAATGTAGACAAATGAATAAATCCAAAATAATTTGGAGGCACTTTTGTGATAAACTTCTCTCACTATTAGATATAAACTGTATTTTAAATATTTTGGCATTGATAATATCTTTAAGATGTTTAGCATTTGCTGGAGTTACATATTTGTGCACTTATGTGGTACATATGTTTTTAATGGATTTTCATACTGTGTTGGACTTAAGCTCCATTTTTCTCACAAAACTATTTTCAGAATAAAATATTACTGTCACAATCATTTGTTCAAAGTAAAGGAATAGTTCAGCCATCTCCCTTGTTGTCAGTAGCATTTTATACTCATTTTATTAGGAGAATTAGAGTTTGCAAAAGTCTCTGCAGACTTGGAGAAGGCATTCGACCGTGTTCCTAGAGGTGTACTGTGAGGGGTACTCCATGGTAATGGGATTGTGGATCCTTTGTTAGAGTCATACAGTCCTTATGCAAACAATACGAGAGTTTGGTTCACATTGCCAGCAGTAAGTCAGACCCCTTCAGGGTGGGAGTGGACTCAGCCAAAGCTGATTCTGTTCATAACTTCTGGACAAAATTTCTTGGTGCAGCCAGCAGAGTTTGGTAGCCTCAGGATTTCATCTCTGCTGTTTGCTGATGTGGTCCTGTTGGTGTCATTGCACCGTGATCTTCTGCTCTCAGTGGAGCTGTTCACAGCTGAGTGTGAAGCAGCTGGGATGAGGATCAGCACCTCCAAATCTGAGACCTTGGTCCCCAGTAAGAAATGGGTGGATTGTTCACTCTGGGTTGTGGGTGAAGTTCTGCCTCACGTGGAGGAGTTCAAGTATCTTGGGGTTTTGTTCACGAGTGAGGGAAGAATGGAGAGGGAGATTGACAGACGGATCAGTGCAGCTTCAGCAGTTTTGCAGACTGTGTCTGTTGTGGTGAAGAAGATGAGCTGTAAGCCGAAGCTCTCTGTTTATCAATCGGTCTACTTTCCTAACCTCGCCTACGATCACAAACTTTGACTAGTGATCACAAAACAAGATTGCAGATACAGATAAATGATGGATGGATGGATGGATGGATGGACGGATGGATGGATGGATGGATGGATGGATGGATGGACGGATGGATGGATGGATGGATGGATGGATGGAACTAGAGTTTACATCCAACAGAATTAGTAAACCAACAGCTAATCTGAAAGCAGCTATTGCAAACCCAATTTATAAAACTAGACATATTTTATCTACAGAATGTTAGTTAATAACAAGATCAAATTTGAGCAGCAGCAGGATGTAGCACTTTTGGATCATACAGGGCTTGAAATATTTCTGCTAAACTAAACAAGTAATTTGAAATGTAATATGATGTAAAGGTGTAAATAGTAGTGTTCAGAAAAACTAAAATATTTTGGCAACTGGAGCTGTTTTAAGAAAGCAATGATCTGCTTTGAAGGTTATAAACATACTGTATGGATAAGCTAAAAAGAACTGATTTGAAATTACCTATTTCCAAGACAATTTTTACCATCTTAAAACTGTATTTTTCAGTTTATGCAAACAGTTATTTAAACGTTGACACCACAATCTGTGTTTCCATTATATTATTTCAGTAGAAATATTAAGACATTCCTGCCAGATGTGACTCCTGGATGGTTAGGGAGTGCTCCAGGTGGCTGCTGCTACATATGCTGGTATAACCATGTGGAATTGATGAAACAAAAATGAATGATAATGTATTTTTTTTCCTGACAATACAACAGACTGTCACAGATGTGGAGTTTGGAGGCAGGAGTGTGGAGCAAACACGGGGAGCATAAGCAAAACTGAAGATTAACTCATTAAAAAAACAGGCTGCAACAGCAACAACAAAATCCAAAATGAATGAGGCGAACGCTAAGTGCCGTGAAGCGCACACACAATGACAGACTGATGAGTGAAGTGGGCTGAGTAGCTTTAAGGACTGGTGATGAAAGGATGAGCTGCAGCTGTGACTAATGAGACAGAGAACAGGTGTGCCTGGGCGTGCAGGCTGCCTGAATGAGCAGAGGTGAATGATAACAGAGTAATAGGTGTGTAAAAGAACAAACCAAATAAATAAAACACAACAGAATAAAATCCTGAGTCAATAAAACATGGCTTCTTAACCTAAAACCACTCTTTCCTCAGTTGCTTAGCTTTTCAAACAAAAAGGAACGTATAAACCATTTACTTTTCAGTCTGCTTTAAGTAGTGGATATTGTATTGTTTTATTATGTATTTATTAAAGAACCTTCCAAGACAAACAAAAGTTGACATAATCATCTAACACTAAAGTTTTCCTTCTCTCTCTTGAAGCAGGACCATGTCAAAACCTTTCCCTGGTTTCCTGGGCCAAGCCACCAAACTCCTCACCTCTTTAGCACCTAAATCCACTTAGTGGACGCTCTGTTGCTTTTAAATGCATCATTTAAACTGAAGCCACTCCGTGATGTGCACCAGCGTTTGTGAGCACGTTTCTCCGGAGCCAAGTGGATCCGGTGAGCCGCAGGTCCACACTGCCCCCATTCAGACACCGGGGTGGCTGCTGCTCCCCAGGTCTGCCGCTGTGGTGCGTTCAGGGAGGGGGATAAGGCCTCGGTCTGTTCCTGCAGCGAACAGGGGTGGGACCACGGGCCGGGTCCACCCTGCCAAGGTAAACACAAGGCGGGTATCCAAAGACCCACCCTCCCCCTCCGACACACACACACACACCGCTGCCGCCCCCAGTCTTCTCTGACCCTCCGCCCGCCAGTAGCAGAACAGAGCTGACATTGATATGTGTTCACACAGAGAAACACAGTCCGGCAGTCATAGATCACCAAGGTGATGTGAGGGAACGCACGTCCGAAAGCCTCTGGTGATGTGTGTGTCCATACAGCACTGCTTACACATACTGTACAGCCTGTGTCTGAGAATACACACAGGCTGTTGTACAGTGAAGTGGGTGGAGAGGAAAAAGTCCCACCAGCTTACAGGTAAAGAGTCAAAAATCAAAGCTGGATCAGCAATGTGTGCACACCTAACAGCTAAAAGGGACAAACAAGGACACACACATGAATACACACCAACGACACGCTCAAGTTTTAAATATGAGGTCACTCTGAAAGTGCTTGGACATTCGGTTTAACTAACTGGTGTTTTCAGCTGTTTAACCAGAACATTTCAATTCACATCATGTGCTCGTCCAGCTCAATGTAACCTTAGCAACAGGATGTCACTTTCAGCCAGTCTCCTACAGTGTCACATAAGTTAAACACTCAGACAATAAAAAGAAAAAAAACTTTACTGAGAGGTTTTTAGTCAGCTGCAGCATCTGAGAAATCAAGTGGAAATATACAGTATGTTCACTGATAGATCAAGCTCTGAATCTAATGACTTTAAAATGACTAGAAATGTATTTTTAAATAGTTTTTTGAGTATTGCTTAAAGTTTTTTTTATTTTTCAATAAATGATATTTACAGAAAATAAATCACCTTTAAGATGAAGTGGTGGAAGCGCACAATGAAAAGGTGCCAGCTGTAGGAAACGCTGTATTGTAAGCCACGAATAACTGACTCACATTAACAATCAGATGCAGCTTTATAAGAAAAACGTTACCGAAGCTGTTGAATTTATTTTATAAGCAGTCTAACATTTAATAAAGTAATAAGTACATTTAGTCATGCCGTTTAAAGTACAAACTTTCCAAATAAATACAAATGTTTCTTTTGCCCACTGACTAAATTAAACCAACATATAAATGAAACAAATCCTCTGAGACAATAAACGCAAAGGTATGCTGGAAAATTTATTTTTCTTTAACTTCTTATTGAACAGGTTTACTGAAAATAAAAGTAAAAAGTTCCAGACATTACCTCTGGCTTGATGTGAGTGCCTGAACCAGTGCAAGAGGACACAGGGGTGTGAAAACATCCCCTTGTGTTCCTGTTTGATGGGTGTCCGGTGAGGTGAAACCTACCGTTGATGATGTCGCTGTCCCAGTGCCGGTGACTCCGAGGGCCACTCGTTCCTGCCCGTGTAGGAGAACAGAAAGAAGCACTTGCTGAACGCTACCACACTTTTAGATGTTGGAAAGGGAGGGAGGGGAGGTGGAGGGTAAGAGAGGGGGGAGAGCTGACCCTCTGCCAGTTAGTGAGGTCATGCAAACAGCATTGAACTTCAAGGTGGAAGAAAAGATATTAAAAAAACTAATGAATTTTAGGAGAACTGAACGAGCCTGTAATTTTCATTTTCTGTGTTTATTATTTATCTATAACTTTGTTTTGAATATTGCTGTCAGACGTTTGACGTGATTGAAGCAGCAGGTTTAATTACATTTTCATCGGTCTGAAAATATCCAGTTTCTCACAAGATTGACAGTATGTACTCATATGCTTCAGCTGATGCTGATTTAAAAATAAAAGTAAATTCATTTAGATGTTGCACTGCCTGCTGTCATTGCATCTCATTGTACAAAATTATTAGACTCATAATTGTAAGATGAGGAGATGATCTGGACCAAGAGTTTAAATCCACCTCCACAGTCTTTCCGTGACAACATAAAGCTGAGAGGTTAAATAGATGACGAGAAATAAAAAGTCATTTCTAAAATGAAATCACTTTTTAATTTTTGTTTTACTTTCTTAATTTTGTGTTTTCATGTGAAGTAATTGATATGGAATTCCTTGAAGTAATGGCAAAGTTTTTGTAAAATCTTTCAAAAAAGTTCTTGTCAAATTTTATCTCAATATGGGTAAAATTTGTCTTGTGACATGTCCAGGGTGTACACAGCTCCTCACACAGTGACTGCTGGATATGGGCACCAGTGACCCCCGTGACCCTGAAAGGAAGAAGCAGGTAAAATATATATATTTTTTTGAAAATCGTCAGATTTTTAAAAGTTTTTGCCACTTTTTGTTTGTTTGTTTGTTTGTTTGTTAAGGTTAATTAAGTTGGCGGCCATCCTGAATAAGGTAGACTTCAAAAATTACAAGTCATTGCTGCACATTCAATATTTATGTTCTGAGAGTTTCATTAAAATTTGTCCAGTGGTTCATGAGATGTTCTGCTTTTGTACAATTTTTGTACAAACTTTTCTGCATTTTTGGTATTAGTTGAGCTTTAAATTTCACATAAACATTAGAAAAGTGACACATAATTTTAGATTTTGTTAAAGATTGCTCTCTGATACTACTTTAGATAATTTGGGATTAGCATTAGCAATCAGCATGTGATCATTCTTGGATACTCTACAACAGGTTTCATCTTATTAAGTCTCAAAATGGTTGAATAGCCTTTAGCTGTGGTGGCCATCTTGAATTTAGGATCAGCATTTGGTAAAGATTGGTTTTGGCTATTGCTACGGTAATCTTCAGCTTTTGTATGTCAAGGAATGCTGAATAATAAGTTGTGACTTAAGCAGATTTTTGATCATTCTGATCAAACAAAATATCATTTTGTCATTTTGAATGTTCTATTTCAGAGTGCTTTTCTTTATTTGTATGTGCCCCCTGCAAAAAACCTCAGCCTACAGTGTTCACTGAATTAAAATGAATTCTTTAAAGCAGTGGTTCCCAGCTTTTTAGACTTGTGTATCCCCTCAGTCAAATGGAATGATGATTCTCCAAATCAGTACAACTGATTATTAAAAGAAAATTATTTATTTAACCTCCTTAACTTGAACATTCAAGTCTCAGACATTTTATGTTTTTTCAACTCAAATTAAACATAAAGATAAATGTGTTGCCTTGGAAGTGAATATAATAAATAAATAAATCAGGAAAAAGCAGGTATAGGAAGCAGCAGCATCCAAAATACATTAGAAACTCGCCCAGATGAGCAAACTGTAAGATTCTACATTTAGTCAATTCCATGATTCTGTCTGCATTTTATGCATTGTAGAAATCATAGGGAACTACGTATCCCAGACCTGTTTTTCTTTATTTTTTACACAATTTTTTCCACGTACCCCCTGCAGTATGCTCGAGTACCAGGGGTACATGTACTCCTGGGTGGGAATCACTACTTTAAATTACTCAAATTATTGGCTAAAACTGTCAAATGCATAAAATAGTGGGGTTTTTTTTGATCATAAGCAGTTGTTGGGTGAGAGAAGAGGTGAAATATGTCATGGTCCTCGGTCCATCACAGGGCCCACAGAGACAAATGGGACAAGACAACCAGAGTACCAGAGTACCTGAAGGAAACCCCATCCAGAGTCAAATGAGTGTGATTTTTGTTGCGAGGCAACGATGCTAAACAACTACTAAAGATACTTTCCCAAACTGAAATAAAAAACAAGAAACAGGAGAGAAAAACACAAATATTTCATCATTCTCTATTTTGAACAGGACAAAACTCCAGGCAGCTCATTTCGGTACCTTTATTTTTTTAAAGGGTGTAACACAAAATGTTCTGGTAATTACCTTAATTTGTTTGCGTCAGGAACAACAAGCAAAATAGAGAATCGTGAGGTTTGTACCAGGTTGCTTGTGTTGATTCTGAGCATGTTTTTAGCCCTGCTGATGTTCTCTGTATTGACAGCTGCAAGTAATGTACAAAAGAGTGTTCCCCACTTTAAAACCTCTTGCAAGCCTAAGAAAGTTAGATCAACCTTGCCAAATGGTGTTTTTATTTGTGTTTCCCTTCTAAATCTAATAAAAGAGTCATTAGGTGTGTTAGTTTTAGTGCATATTTATATGCATGTGGGCACTGGGCGTCTTCTTTAGCGTGCAAACAAGTACGCACTGTGTGCCACGCATTCAGCTGAAAGTCAAAGATGCTAATGTTGGCCTGAGGTTCAGGAAAGGTGTGTCTCCTGCTTGTCTCACATCAAGCTCCATTCAAAGCTCTAAATACTGTCTGTTTGTGCAGAAACATGATTTGTTGGAATTTGCTGGGCTTGTTTTGGAAGTCGGTTTATCCAACGACTTCAGGTGAACTCAACGTCTTTTATGTTAGTCAGCTGTTGCACAAGGACGTTTCTGTGGAAAACATCCCAATAAATGTGTTCATGTTGCATCGTCTTTTTGCAGGTGACATTTATAACATTTGTTCTTTTTTCCCTTTGATGTTCTTTTCTAAATTTATTAGAGGAGCAACTATGGCTTTAAATACATGTACAGATATGCAAAGTCATAAAAATACTCCCTGTTCTCTTGGATCTGAAATATGCAAATGTATATATA